AGGTACATAAAGACAAATCTGTTCCAGTGACTGAGAAAGTATCTAATAAACATTTCTAAAGAATATTCTGTGATGCCAAAAAGTATTTGGAATTACTTAAAGGTCTTCATTTAGGTTATCACACTGTGGTTTTACTGCTATGGAGTGTAAACAGGGTTTCAGTTTTACAGACAAGTAACATCTGGCATAGAGGAATCAAATAACTCATTGTTTTAGGGTTTCTTTTGCCATGTATAGACACCATAACCAAAGCAACTCTCATATAGAAACATTTAGGGCGTTTGCATCCTACGTCTGCCTGAAGGCGTCAGTTCCTGGCGGCGGGGCCCCGGGTAGCCAACGGCCTGTGAGCATCATGCCTAAGTTTTATTGTGACTACTGTGATACATATCTTACCCACGATTCCCCGTCTGTGAGGAAGACACACTGCAGTGGTCGGAAACACAAAGAGAATGTGAAAGACTATTACCAGAAATGGATGGAAGAGCAGGCCCAGAGCCTGATTGACAAAACAACGGCTGCATTTCAACAAGGAAAGATCCCTCCGGCTCAGTTCTCTGCTCCTCCGCCTGGAGAGGCCATGATCCTGCCTCCCCCCAGTCTCCCGGGTCCTCCTCGGCCTGGCATGATGGCTGCACCCCACATGGGAGGCCCTCCCATGATGCCAATGATGGGCCCCCCTCCTCCTGGGATGATGCTTGTGGGACCAGCTCCTGGGATGAGACCGCCCATGGGAGGCCACATGCCCATGATGCCCAGGCCTCCCATGATGAGACCTCCCGCCTGCCCGATGATGGTGCCCACGCGGCCCGGCATGACCCGGCCAGACAGATAAGAGCAGAAGCTCTCTTCATCATTTTGTATTGTGCTGTTTCACCAGGAGACCTTGGTGCTGAGCCCGAGTGCTTATTAGACGCATGGCAAGGAACTTCCTTGTTAACAGAGAGGATACTTTTGGAAGGAGAAGTGATACAAAAGGGGCTGTTTTCACTTACATTGTGAAACGTGAAAATAAAATGGTCAGCTGTTTTAGTTAAAAAAAAAAAAAAACCATTTAGTTGAGGCTGTCTTCCAGGTTCAGAAGTTTAGTCCATTAACATCATGGTAGATTACATGGCAGCATGTAGGCATACATAGTGCTGGAAAGATAGCTGAGAGTTCTGCATCTGGATCCTTAGGCAGTAGAAAGACCAAGTGAGCCACTAGGCTTGGCCTGGGCTTCTGAAACCTCAAAGCCCACCCCCAGTTACACACTTCCTCCAACAAGACCACACCTACATGAACAAGACCGTACTTCCTAGTAGTGCCGCTCCCTATGTGACTATGGAGATTATTTATTGAAATCACCACATTGGTCTATGTTTTAACACTAGAATGGTTCAGAATGAGTGTGTTTAGACTCCTCTATTTATTCCTTCTTTCTTCTTCCTTCTTTGATCTACTATTTAAATAATCATTGCCAGTATTATCTTGGTGCTAAGGTTTAAACCCAAGGCTTTGCTCATGTTAGGTGAGCAGTCTACCAACCATATTGCCAGCCCCACTCTCCCACTCTCCTCTCACTATGGTAAATTGCAAATGAAAGGGGGAAGTAGTATAGTTTCATACTTTAGAGACATAATTTTAATTATATAATATATAAATGGTCAATATAGAGTGTATGATGCAGGGATTGGCATGTACTAAATGCACAAAAATATCAGCTATTTTGCAAACACTATTTTAAAAAGCCATTTATGTCCCTTGACAATTTAATGACAGTGTGTGTTGACATCTCATTCTGGACTAGAAGATTTACAGATAACAAAAGTTAATTTATATTGTGAGGCATCTGTTATTAAAATCTCTTAGCCAAGATGGTAGTGATTTGTATTTTAACCGATCTATTGCTTTGACACAAAAACAAAATTTCAATATAATTCTGAACATTAAGCTCTGACAGATGACTGTGGCTATGTATGCCAGTGGGAATATCGCAATCTTATCTAATTTTAGGCTTTCTCTCGATATAAATAGTTTGATCTTGAGGATCAAGGTGAAATGCCTTCCTTCGTGCTCAAAAGTTTCCTGGACACACTTTGTGCAGTGTTATTTGATAGTTCTTTGCTTACTATCTTATATTAAGTAGTTTGGGCCTCTCTCCAGGTCCTTCTGTGTTCTGACCCCTGCCTCTTGCCTAGTGTACTATTTCATTAGCCTGAGAACATTGCTTTAGACCACCAATAGCTAAAAAGTGTTGGTGGTTTCTCTAACTGTTCAACTTGCTCTTCTCTTCACAAGAACTTTCTGTCTGAAATGACTGACCATGTCTTCTTCAACTCTACCCTTTACCTTGCCTAAACCAGCCTTTATTTTTTTTTAGACAATACAATAAGTTTTTCCAGGAAGGCTGTTCATAAATTTCTTAAGGGAATTTGTTAAAAAGAAATATTATTTATCTGTGTGAGGTTACGTGCATGAGTGTAGATGCTCACAGAATCCAGAGAAGGACATTGGACTGTCTCAAGATAGAGTTACAGACAGTTGTGAGCCACCTGATGTGAGTACTAGGAAACAAACTCACATGCTCTGCAAGAACAATATGTAAGCTGAACAGTTGAATCATCTCTTCATCCCCAGAAATATTTTATCTCTTGTATTCTGGCCACATGATTGCACATTTTAGACTTGTTAAATTATATTTCATGATAAAGATCTTTTGCTTTTACCTCTCTCCTGCTTTCCACATCGGTACATATTGCCTGAATAGAAAATTAAGGTCATAAGCACTCCAAGGTAAAGAAAGTATTATTTCAATCAATCCAATGTTAGTGGACAGTGTGCCCACATGATTGCCCACACTGTCTAATGCATCTCTTGTTGCTTTGGGAGAAGGTATATGTGAATGTTCTACTTTGGCAGACTTCAGGCTTAATCAAAACAGAATGAATTTAGACAGTTTCTTCTAAGGGGTTTGTTTTTATTTTTCTCATTGAGCCCTTATGTATATTTATGTGGTTTCTCTTCCCATATTATAGTACTTGACCTACCCACAGTGAGCTAATTAAAGGTTATGATTCTGTTGTTTGCATTCCCTTAAATAAAAAATTTAGTGTTTGCATGTCTAATATTCTGGGCTTGCTACAGTCTCTCATTCAGATACCTACTGACAGTATATTTTAGATGCTATTAATTCTGCTTGTTTCCAACAAAGATGAACTTCCCAACATATGTCATCATATATGCCCCACACACATTGTGTAGAACATGTTTTCTTTTATCACTAAACCCACAAATCTTGTCAGTATTTTATGACCACATAAGCGTCTTCTGTTTTAGATATCCATTCCTAGGGTTTCTGCTTGCATCTATTTTTCCTCCCCCACCCCAAGAGCTTATAGGATTTACAAAGACCCTCCACCTGTCTTACATTGTCTTTGTGCTTTTAACATTAATTCTCAAGAGTCTCACGTCTTTCAAGCTGGAAACTGAAGATAAAAATCTGTGTCATGAGCTGGCACATTGGCTCAAAGGGTACAGGTACTTATATCTTGCCTAATGACTTTTCAGGACCCACATGATAGCAAGAGAGAATACCTACAAATTTTTCCCTGACCTCCACACATGCTCACATGTGTGTATGGGCATATACATGATACATTTACAATGCACACACACATTAAATAAATGTACTAGCTTTTAAAGTCACATATTTTTTAAAAACTGTATTATATATATTATTTGTTTATAAATATCAAATATGTGTTAAAATCTGTATTATGTATATGATTTGACTATAAACATCAAAAGTCCAACTCAAACTAGTGCAAATGGTAAATGAATTGTGTTGTCAGATAGGCAGTGAAACAGTTCACAGATTCTAGGTTCATGGATTCTCATGGATTCGAGGCTCCAGTCAAAGTAAGGAACACCAAGATATTAATCCCAAACAGATGATAAGATCCTTTCTCTTGTCTTGGGCCCTCCATCTCTCTTCTTCTACTTTCCTTCTAGAATTCTGTTTTCTTGATCTTCTCTATCCATGTTCTGCTGAGCACTCCCATGATGGTACTTTTCTTAACCTTTGCAATTGTCTGATGTATGCTAAGGGCCTGAATAGAGTCTGAACTAATCTGGGGCAGGTCTTTTCTGCACCTAGCAGCTGTGAACATAACAGTATAGCATTAAAGAGAAGGGTCGTGAATGGGTTGCCTGTGTGGACTTGGAAAACAGTACATTCTTAGAGAACTGTGATCATGTTGCTCTAAAGAGACAGTCTAAAATTATGTCACTACTGTGATTGTTGAGAAGAGGAGTTTAATGGCTTGTAATAAAAGAAGCATAGTGCCTGTTATCTAGAGTCTGAGTCACACTATATGTATTTGAATATCTGTTCTTTCACTCATCAAACTTGATGATCTGGGGCAATTTGTTTACCTCAACAATTACCTGTTGTTTAGCTATTAAACTGAGAAAGTATAATAGCAATAAAATCATAGAGTTGCTTTGAAAACTAAATATATTAATGTGTAACTATCTATTGTAGAAAGTATCAGCATGAAACTCTCTCAGTCTAGTTATTTTAATTTAAAATTCATGGTTGCCAATATGTCATTAACATAGAAATTGTTTGCAATGCCATGCATTGTCTTAATTAAGCTATAAATTTATTGAAAGTAAAGCTATGCATTATATGTCATAATATCTGCTATAGCACCTCGCATAGTCATTTTACACTTAAAGAATAAATGCATGACTAGGTGTGTGAATCAAAAACTAAAGAATGAAGGAATAGAAGATTGTAGAACGATTGGGACAAGAAAATCTGATTCTTCAAATACTTTTTTGAATTAAGAGAGCCAACTTGGCTGTTTTGTACATAAAAGAAAGCTGTCCATCAGGGTATAGGTCAGCAAAAATGGGTCAGGAACATATATCCAGTATAGCTTCCTAGTCACCATTGTCAGGGCACTCAGCAAGCTCACAGGTCAGCATCATTCTTTGTCCCAACATCAGCATGTCTCATCCATCAATCTGGCAGCCACCATGCTTCTTCAACATCCTGCAGAAAAAAACACAAGCATGTCCTCTTTCCCATATTAAATACCTCATGCCATATGCCAGTAAGTGGGTCCTTCCCTTTCACCTATGCATAAGTACACATATTGTAGAGTGCCATAGACACTATGCAGAAAGTTCCTTGGCAACCAAATTTTTTTAAAAAAATTACAATACAAAGAGCATGATTTAAATAAATTTGTTGTGTATGAGGATATACTTCCCCCTTTTTTATTTTATGAAAATGTTGTTTTAAAGTTCCATGGGCCCCTTTCACAATTTCTTGTACTTGACAATTATAAGGAATCCCAGTAACATGGGTAATATTAAATTGCTGCCAAAAAGTCTCAAATGCTTGACTGTGATAGCCAGTTCCATTATCTGTTTTTTGTTGTTGCTGTTGATTTTTTTTGGGGGGTGTTTATTATTGGATACTTTATCTACATTTCAGATGTTTCCTCCTTTCCCCACCCCACTCCAGAAATTCCTTATCCCTTTCTCCCTCCTCCTATTTCTATGAGGGTGTCCTCCATCCTCTCCAAGATGTCTTACCTCAAGTTTTTAGACCTCATGGAACAGAGAATCAAAAACAGATGTTATAATGACTCTTGTATTTTTCTTAAATGTTACCAGTTATTTGGACTCAATCATGTACTGGTCTAGAAATCAATCCAGTATTGGAAATAGCAGTTGTCATTTGGACGGCTGGTTCTGGACATTTTCAGAGACATACTTGGAAGTTAGATGCAGTTCTCTATGATGTTTTGTTAGCAAGAGATAAAATTGGGACAGGATATGGATTTCAAACAAGTATTTGTACATGTGTTAAGGCTCTTTTAATTGTCATGTTAAAATTACTTTTGTTTCTTCTACAATATTTAATATAAGTTGCATTGATTTTACACTTTCTAATTGTATTAGTGTGTTGAAACCTGGCATATCTGTTATGGAAGTCTATCAGCCAGCTTTTGTTTTAGTGCCCTGAGTATTACAGAACAATGGTATTCTGAAAAAAAGCTTCCAAGTACTGGAAGAAGTGAGTCAGGCTTTAAGCAGAAGCAAGAGCGTAGTGGGCTTGATTATTGCTGGTATAACAGCTTTAATTACATTAATTGTTAGCACCACTACTTCTATAATTGCTTTGACACAGGAAGTTAAGACAGCTACTTTTGTTAATCGTTTAACAAAAAATGTTACTAATCTGTTGAATATACAAGAGGATTTAGATAGGCATTTGGAACAATGGATTGATGCTCTTTATCCTATTCAAATTATCAGAAGGAGGTTTAGAGTTTAGTAAGGAGCCATCTCGAGTGTCATGCCAAATACCATGGGATTTGTGTTAGTTCTAAAATTTACAGTGGTGGTCATTATAATTAGGAAGAAGTTTAAAGACACTTGCAGTATATTTGGCATAATTCTAACACCTCTATGGATGTTTTAACTTTGCATAGTGAGCTTATGTATTTAAAGAAGGCTGCTCTGCTGAGCATTGATGTGGCAGATACTGCTGATAAAATTACCCATGGCCTGAGGTCAGTATTTCTATTTTGGTCAAGCTTCAAGACTGGCATATATAGCTTGATCATGCTAGCCCTTTTTGTCCTGGGAATACTTTTATTCCTGCCCATCATTTTAAAGCTTGTCTTTAACAACAGCAACATGTTGGCAGCCAAAGTACATGAAACTGAAAACGGACCCCCAGACAGAGTTATTAATTTAACAGGCTGGCAAGCCAAGGATGGGTAAGATTCTGCAGAGTCTTACCAACCTAAGACAGAAATGCATTGCTTTTGATAATGCATATTCCACAATGGGTAAGAAAGGCATTCTTGTCAGAACAACCTAAGACAGGCTCAGTCTTGTTTATAAAATAAAAAAGGGGGAAATATGGAGAGCTATTGGAGCTGCTTAGCAGGAATCTGACATGGGCCAAAGACAAGGAAATGGGATGCTTGGCAGGAATCTGATATTGGACAAGGACAAGGAAGTAATTTCAGGCAGGAATCTAAATTTTAGGCTATAACAAGAAAGTAGGCTTCAGACATGAAAATGACTTTGGTCTAGAACACGGAAGCAGGCTCAGATCTTTTGGTCATCCTGATAGGCCCTTACAAACAATGATCTAATTGCTAGTTCCTCAACCTAGAACTGACCTTAATACTTACATGTAATTAAAATGGTATAAAATCAAAAATGAAAAGGAGGGATGGGATAGGGGTTTTCTAGGGAGGGGGAAAAGGGAAAGGGGATAGCATCTGAAATGTAAGTAAATGAAATATTCAATTTTTAAAAAAGAAAGCAGCCAATAATCTCAACGCTGGCAGGGGAAAATAGTATGTTTATCAGCTGTGGTAAATTGACTAGTTGTTCCTCACTAGATGCTAGACAGCTGTGGCTGTCAGGTAGTGATATGAGTTTTCCCAAGTTCTGTAGAGGAAAGTGGAAAACTGTTTGCTACAAGGCTTGTACCATGTCTGCCAGAATTAAGCTCAATAGAACTTAATAAAATTATAAATAGTTTGCCCAACACATTAATTTGCTGCATGATTTTTAAAAGTCTGTGAAATAGTGTGTTATTTTAGAATAGCTGAATTTATTGAGCATTTCCCTTTGAGTCAGTGGAAGATGTAGTGAGTTTGCAAAAGCTATTGTTGATTCACTAAGCAATTAGAGGCAGGGTAGATTTCATTTTTGTTACTGCTTAGAAAACATTAATTAAGCATTTGGGCTTGAATAAAAGAATGGAAGTTGTAGCTGAGCAGAATTTTTGTTGTACAACTTTGGACTTATGATTAGGCAAATGTGAGTTTGGATTTATGTTGCTACAGATGAGGTGCCATCCTTCACCCCAGCATCTAGTCAGAGTTAGGATGTTGTATGTCATTTTTTATTCCTCTGTTCATTCCTGTGACATATGGGTCATACTGCAATATAACTGTAGATAATACCTCTTAGCTACAGGACTGTGACCTCTTGGAAAGCAGTTTATTTGGTACCTTGTCTCTATCTACCCAGAAACAAGGACTGCTTTCTCAGTATATTTATTCAGAAACTTTCTTTAGGGTGGCCAGGTAAAATAGATGATGTCCAGTGAATTCAGAAAAACAATGATTTATTTTTTTACTATATGTACATAATTATTTATGACATGCTAAGAAATACTCATTTGTATAAAATTCAAATTAAATTGAGTGTTATTTTTGTTGGTTAAATCTGAGAATCTTATTACAGGAATGGGTGGAATATAAGGAATTTTTCTGTATTATAGCAAAAAATCTGTTTTTGTTAATTTCTGTAGGTTTTTGGATTTCATGTTAAGTCATAATGGAAAATTTTCTACAATGTGATTTCAAATTCTTTCTTGTTCTTTGAAAGCATATTTTTGTATTAAGAAAACAGGACTTGATTCAATATTAAAAAATGAGTGTTGATCCTGGAAAACAGCTTAAAGAAAGAGACATGGCAATCATGATGTGTAACAAAAATAAGACTGATTAAATCTATTGTGTTTAGACATGCTATGGTAATAATGAAATAATAATATGTCTAGTGTTTATTGGGTAATCCAGTATGCCAGAAAAAAATCTAGCTTCTTTTTATGTACTTGTTCAATTGTTCTTCATATAATTGTCCTACTAAAGACTATTGTCTTCTCCTTTTGTAAACAAAAATATCAACAATTAAAAACTTAAATATCTGACTCCAGATTGTATTGCTGATTAGTCATGGTATTTCTGCATTTGAACCCAGAAGAGTAATTCTTTAATCTGTTCTTCTAACTACACTTTCCTAAGTTCATATCTTAGTGAAAAGACTTAGGGTTGCTATCTTTGGTCAATGCATCATATGTGATTAAATGAATAATATAACATCACTATGATATTAAATAAATAATTGTGACTACAAAGAATATTCCTCAACTTTGAGTGGAAATATTAACAATAATACTCCAAAACCAGTACTAAATCTAACTTAATTATTATATACATGCATGTGTATCTTTTGAATGTCTGCCTATATCTGTGTATAATTGTGATCTAACCCCTTAAAAGATTTGAAATGTCACTGTCACAGCTACTTCAGATGTTAAGAAGAAGATGCCCTTGCTGAAAAATGCCTTCCTTAGTGTGTCATCTAGTTTCTATGATTGCTGCCAATGAGAAGAGGGAACAGGGCAATCCTGTAAGTGAGACTGCAGGATACTATATCAAGGCTTTGACTGGTTCTAGCTGCCAGTCTGGCATCTTGTGCGATCAGGCTACAGGGGCATAAATGAGTGCTGTCCCTATCAGGTGGGAGTGATTTGGGTATGAAGGTTGAAGGGAATAGCCCTGTGATGGACGGATACATTCTGGTAACTACAATTATAATACTAAAAGTTTAGCAGCTAGGAAAGATCTCTGCTGCTTTTCCACTCAGAAGTTACTTCTAGGCTCACAACCACAGTTGTTTGAAAGTGCATACTGCTTTTGTAGGGGACCAGTTCCCAGCACCCACATTAGTTGGCTCACAACTGCTTATAACTCCAGCTCTAAAGGATCCAACAGTCTGTCCTGGATTCTAGAGAAAATTCAAGTTCATATCTTTTCCTAATTTTTTTAAGTGAGTGATCCTCATTATGTATTTTTTATCAATTTGTAAACATTCTTGACATATTGAACAAATTATTTTTAAGATAGATAGTTAAGCTGTAAATATTTAGGACCCATTTCAGTGCACAAATATCTATTTGAATAGGATTTAAAATTTTAAAATCATCCGTATTTTGTTCCTAATTAACAAGTGCTAGACAGGTGTAGCAAGGCTGATATATCATAATTCTTGGTGGATATTGCTTGGTGTGTCAAATGTCTTTTGGAGTTTGACTTTATGTAGTGATTTGGCACAAGTAACTTTATTTAAATTGGATATTCCTTCCAATTGTTAATTCACTAGCTTCTGATTGTCATTGATTCAGAGTTAATTTCTGGTTTAACTGAAATTATTCTGTATTGAATTAACTGTAAAATCACTTATAATTTTTGTTTAGAGAGTTAGTGTTTTACCCAAATAAATCGTAATGGAAAATACTTGAGGAATATTTATCTTAAAAGGCTGCTTTCACTTTAATATTATTTGTAGCTGTTCAGTACCCACTCTCCCCGGAAAGTGGCCGCCTATTTAATCCCCTATTTGGGCTTTTAATTTTCCAAGTATGCTTTTATAAGCATTTTCCACATTGTTCATGCCATCTGACAATGAGAGTCTGTCATTTGTAGCCTGTTTATTTAATTTGTTTACAAAGAATACTTAGTCACTAGTTTAACATTAGTATGTAAATTTATGTAGTATATAGATCGTGAATTACACGACTTTATATTCAGATGATAGATCATAATTATAAGCTTTTAATCTTTTTTCTAGTAAAAGATATCCTTGGATTTAGGATGACTCCCCTGAGAAGCATTGAAGACTATGATCTGTAGAACTTAGGAAGATTTCCTATCAAACACTAATTAGCCAAAAGGAGTGTAGTGATCCATACTCCACATGTACAAATTGAAATGAAAACTGAGGCATCCATGTTGGTGATAGAACAACACATAGAAGGCCTCTCTCTGTACTTATTTACATGAAAGCATGATTCCTACAGTGGACATGTTTTATTTAGATTATACTGTCTTAACATGTGACTTGATATTTAGCAATTACCTCAGATGTGCTGTTACTTAAGATTCTGTTCCTCTATACGTGATTCCTGTAGGCTTCATTTCTCTTAGCTTTCAAAATACAAAAAATAAAAGTACTTTACAAATCTGTGAGTGAAGGGAAACAAAAATCCCTGAGTTACCTACCATGCACTGCAAAGAGACAGTTATTTAATCAACTCTGAGGACAATGTCAATCTATAGATTTAAACATAAATATCTAAGAAACAATTTGATAATATGTTCACTTAGCAAAACAGCTACAGAAGATTCACCTCAGTTCCCAAGACCACTCTGTAACCAGATACACATTACCAGCATTAACCACCTCCTATGTAGCTGGTCTCAGATCCAATCTGAAATAAGTTATTGAAAATGGAAAAGAGAAATCTCACAGAGCCCCAGCCCTAGACAAAAAAACTAAAAGCAACTCTGGAATACTGAGAGGAGACAAGTCTCCAGGAAAGAGCGGAAAGAGCTCTTTGGTTTGCTATCCAATACTAAATGGTTACCCGGAAACCAGATATATACAAGTAACACCATGTAGACTGAGTTGCATTTATGTATTTTGGAAAAAAAATATATATTTTAAAAACTGGGCCATGAATTTGACAAAGAACAAGGGGGTAACATTGGAGAGATGATATGGAGGAAAGGGGGAGGGGTAAATGATACTATATTTTAGTTTCAAAAATAAAAAACAAAAACATAATGATGTGCTTATTGTCATAACAGTTATGCCACTGTCTCATCAGTAATCTCCTGCCTAGCTAGTTAGTATTGTAGTCTAAAGTTGTAGCATATTATGGCTGACACTTATCTTTTAGTTGCCTGGACTACAATGTCTGATATCTTGAAAGTTAGCAAGCTTTCCACATGTTTTTTTCTATATTCAGCAACCTAGGTATGTGGTGTCTTTAATAATAGAGTCTTACCATTCTGTTGGTCTTAACAACAGCAATGTCAATAACATGAATAGTTTTGGAGGGATTTCTGGAGACTTTCTGGACATAATAGCTCCTAGAAAGTTGTCCTATACATGAGAGTTTTACTTAATAATAGCTCATGTATTCTGGGATCAGGTTTTCTGCCCATGCATGGTATTTCATGATAATTCTAACACCAGCCATAATGAAATATGAAAAGAAGCATCTGAAATGACTATAGAGAAGGAAGAAAAGCCATAAATGAATTCTGAACATTCAGGAGAATGAAATCATTCAGCTATAGTTATGAAAGAAATATGGGCTAGGGCCGAATCATAGCCCAGCTGAGATTACATCAGGAGCACAAAAGAAAAGAAACAGCAACAAGTATCTATTCACTGCTTCACTTTCACTAGCTTCATGTATTAAGTTGAACCACAGGAACTTACTGATATTCAGCCATTTTAACAGCTAAAGTAATTTCTTGTAGTTCAATTCAGTAAATATATGTATTCATTGTCATTGACATAAACTATACAATGCAAAGTTTCTATGAAAAAATGCATTATGCTGTCAACCTAGCAAAAGTAATATGTAAAAGAATGTGAAACGTGAATTCTTCAAATGTCATGGCTCTCTTGTAGTCATTGTACCCTTCCATGGACATCATTCCAAATGAATATCTGTTGTTTTAGGAAGCAAGCTAACATAATAATGGATATATCTACCCATGTATCCTGGGAGGAAAAACTTTAGAATTAACTTATAAGAACACATTTTCCTGTCTGTACAAATTTTTCATATTTAATAATAGTTAATAGTTAATAAAATATTTTATAATAACTTTCTTCATTGATACAGTAATTTCAGATATTTACAGGGTATAATGTACACTATATGCTATATAAAAACAATATAATTAACATTTCTATCTCCTTAAACATTTATTATGTATTTGTTGTGAAAATTATCCAAATCTCTTCAGTTTTTTTAAATATATCTTACTAGCTATAGACACCCTGATGTGTGAAGAAGCATCAGAATTTATTCTTTCTGTTGAATGGGACTTTTTTTTCAGATGATAGAACTTTCCCTATCACTGTCTATCCTTCTCCTGTTGTCTTGGTTACTGTCCTATTGCTGTGAAGAGACTAAGACAACTCTTATTAAAAGAAGCATTTAAGTCTAGCTTTCAGTTTTAGAGGATTAGTCCACAACTACATGGCTGGAGTATAGTAGCAGGCAGACATGGGGCTGAGAGCTTACATTCTGATCCACAGTAAGGCAGAAAGAGAAAGTTTGTGTTTGCTATGATCTTTTGAAACCTCAACCTCCCTCAACCATTAACACACATCCTCCAACATGGCCACAACTCCTAATCCTTCCCAAACAGTTTCACTAACTGAGGACAAACCATTCAAATCTAAAAGCCTAGGAGTGCCATTTTAATTAAAACTATCAGACACAGTCTCTGGGAACTACAATTCCATTCTTAAATGTCATGGAATTAACTTCCTTACATTCTATGCATGAAAGTTTTCATGAGGTATTTGTCTTTTCATGTCTGGCTTATTTCAAGCTACACAGTATATTTTAAATTTGTCTCTGTTGTGTCAAATACTATAATTTTTATGGTTCAATAATATTCCATTGTGCAAAGATGTGCCACATCTTTTCTTAATCCATTCATCAATCAATGACCATGTAGGTTGAATTCCATACTTCAACTACTGTAAATAGAGAGCAGATTCACAGAAATAAAACACTACAGAGACAGAGATAAAGAAACACTGCATACCATACAGCGTCTCATATCTCAAGTAGTGTTTTCTTCTCTTCTACACAAAATCTATGTTTCTAAAAGAATCCTAGGAAAAGTCTCTGCAGTCACGGAAAGGGAATTTCTGACTCTGAAAACCAAGCCATTGCTGCATTGTTCAACTTTTAGCGTTACTATTTGTAAATTGCTTTTGCTGTTGCTGCTGCTGCTGCTGATGCTGCTGTTTGGTTTTGTTGTTGTTGTTGTTGTTGTTTTGGATCAGGATCATACTACATAATCCTGGCTGGCTTGGAACTTGCTATGTAGACAAGGCTGACCTTGAACTGACAGATTCACCTGCCTCTGTCTCCTAATTGTTGGGATTAAAGGTATATACCATTACACCTGGAATTCCTTTTTTTAAAAAAAGATGAAGATGGTTACTCATAACATGTACTACATAAAAATTACCATACCCAGATAAAGAATACAGGTTCTGCCGTCAACCTGCCAATATTCAAATACTGCTCCTAGGTCATAGTTATACAAACTTAGGCCGAATTAGTTTGTTAGCTCATTTTGCCTTCCTTGAAATACTACATGTAAAACTCTTGGAACAGTACCAGAAACATGAAGGATCTAGGAAATTTTACACATATAAGTGTAAATGATATGTGTGCATGTGTGTGTGTGTGTGATTAACCTAGGTTCTTAGGCTTCAAACTCTGATGCTCCTCTCTTGACCTTGTGAGTGCTGAGATTTCAAGTCTACACCACCACGCCTAACCTGATCTACATTTAGAATGTGTTTCTGTCAGGTTAGCATGTTAGTTATTAGAGCAGATGGCTATTAGGGAATTTAGTCCTTTTTATAAATCAGATTTTTATTTCTTAAACTAAACTTATCTCTATTTTATAAATAGAGGAGAATCCATTAAAGACTTAAACCATGACCTATGTGATACATGTACTACACAGGTACATAACCAACCTGGAAACATTTGTTTTTACTAATTTTTAAGGTGTCATTTTTAATATAATGATTTCTTTTTCTTTGGAACCATTGTTTGGGTAGAGGGATCATGTTTTACCTGTAAATTTTTTTAGTGTTAATGGCGATTTGCATAATGGCTTACTAATATATACTTCTGCCAATAATGCACAAAGTCCTCTCTATACCACCTTCAGTCTCATGTCTTTATTTTTCTGTCTGACAGTCTTATCACTGTGTGTGTGTGTGTGTGTGTGTGTGTGTGTGTGTGTGTGAGAGAGAGAGAGAGGGGGGGGAGAGCACCAAACTGGGATAAGAGAGTTGCTAGATTATGATTTTACTTTTCCTTATGATTAGTGACAACTGAATGTTGTTTTGTTATAACCCTGCTGGTCATTTTTGTTTTTAAGGAAGTATTTATTTTGGTCTTTCCACCATTTTTCAACTTAATTATTTGGGAATGTTGGTAATTGATTTGCTGGAGTTCCTTCCAGATTCCAGACATTATCCTCTGTCAGATGTACAGGATGGAAATATTTTCTCCCACTGTTAGGTTACCTACATACTGTTGACTATTTCATTTCATATTTGAGGCAACTTGTTGTTTGGCTTTGTTGTTCATTTCTGAGATCATATCCAAAAACTTCTTGCTCATATTTATATCATATGGTACTAATGCTGTATTTTCATTTAGTTTCTTCAAAGATTGATGTCGTATATTCAATTCTTTATCAACTTGTAATTGACTTTTGTAGGTGGTGAGAGAAAGGAGTCACACATAGGTCTTATGCCTTGGGATGTCCATTTTCCCTAGTATTTTTGGAAGCTACTATTCTTTCCCAACTGTTTGGTTTATGACCAAACATTTGTCAAAAATGTGTTGACAAAGGTTCATTGGTTATTCCATGACAAGCATGACTGGAAAGTGTATAACTTCTTCATTTCACTGATCAAGCCTGCCTATAGTATGTGAATTTTATTAAAATTGGGGTATAAATCATGTTGGAATAGTTTATTGAATCAGAGGTGGAAATGAAAGTGATCAGATTCAGAAAGCAATACAAAACAAAGCAAACACCTAGCTACTTAGGGATCCTGTTTTCAATCAGCAGCTGGCTTTGCCACAAATTATACAACTGCCCATGATTAATTCACCGCTGCTGCAATACTGTAATTTCCTTTTATGTGCTTCTTTGAAGCTTATTATATGCATACATTTTGATTGTCCTACTTGTTCTGTTAAGATTTCCTTTTGATTTTACTATAAAAATAGGATTTGTTTCATCCAGTGTGAAAGTAATTTAACTGTGGCATGACAGAGTGAAGGACTTAGCTGTATTGCTGTAAGCTCATAGGCAATTGGAGGAGTGTCAGTTTCCATGAAGGCTGGCACAAG